CCTTTAGCCTTTGGAGCAGCTGGTGGATTCAAACCATGTACGTTTGCATTGTCAGCACAATTCTTTACCACCAAACCCCTAGAGCTCCTGCCTTCTGAAATAATGCACCCACAAATACTCTATAAATAGCAGCACATTGTTGGGTAGAGTGCTGGCTGATGAGCCCCTCAGGTTGGAAGGCTCTCAGGGTAGAACAGGGGAAGTGCTGCCCCCTCAGAGTGGAGTTAACCTTAATGTGGATGGAATAAAGCTTCCACTCCATGAAGGACCTCATTTGCTAATGGGACATGAGTGCAAATGAGAAAGAATTGCAAACACCCATTAATAATTGGAATGTGGAAGGTATGAATCTAGGATAATTAGCAGTTATAGAAAGTGAAATAGAACATATAATGATACATTTCCCAAGCATTAATGTGCACAGATGGACTGGTACTGGCCAGTTCGACTCTGACAGTCAATCCTATGTGCTATCATGCTGGCAGTGGCGAACTGAAGAAGGATGCTGTTGCATTCATTGTCATAAAAGAACATCTCCGTATTTATCCTGAAGTACAGCGCTGGATAATATCCATGTGCATCTAAGGAGGATTTGTTAATATAACAATTGTTCAAAGTTAAGGACTAATCACTGAACCTAAAGCTGAAGGACTTAAAGTTTATACCAATTTCTGCATTTTGAAGTAGAGTGAACATGGAATCAGTGCCTATAGAATACAAAATTTGGGGAAAACCTGTTGTCATTATTAAGTGCCATCAAGTTGAGTATGACTCATAGCGACCCTATGAACAAAAGATATGAACGTAGTCTTGTCCTGCGCCATCCTCACACTTCCTGACACACAAGAGCCCATTACAGCAGTCACCATGTCAATCCACCTGGTTGAAGGATTTCCTCTTCTTTGCCAACCCTCTACCCTTCCTAACATCATGTCCCTCTCCAAGGAATAGCCCCTCCTATCAATATGTCCAAAGTACGTGAGATGTAGCCTCATCATTCTTGTCTCCAAAGAGACACCAGCTGCACCCTCTCCAAGACTTATCTATTCATTCGTTTGGCCTTCTATGGGATGTTCAGTGCCCTTCTCCAACATCACAACTCAAAGTCATCAATTCTTTTTCTGTCATTCTTATTCACTGTCCACATCTCAGATGCATAGCTAGTGATTGGAAAGATGCACCTTAGTCCTCAAATTGACATCACTACTTCTCAGTAATTTGGAAAGGTCACTAACTGCAGATTTCCCCCCATTGTAATGCATCTCCTTATTTCCTGATGGGGAAAAACTAGCAGACTGAAAATAGGACTTTAGTGGTGGAAATGAAGGCTAGAATTTTGTACCACCGACTTACTCACTGAAAATATCTTTTAAGAAATATAATCAATAGCTATACACATAGACAGTACAAGATGGCATACACAGGAATCTAATGACAGCTGTGGAAAGAGATGGTAGTATTCTCAGTATCATCAGTCAGAAAGTCAGAGGATGACTGTGCAACAGACCATCACTTAATCATATACAAGTTCAAACTGAAGCTGAAGACAAAGGGTGGGGAGAAGTCCACGAGAGCCAAAGTATACAACTTTGAGCATATCTTTCCTGAATTTAAGAGCCATGCCGTGAATAGATCTGGAGCACTGAACACTGATGGCTAGATACTAGATAAGTTGTGGGTTTTTAAAAAAGGACATCATCATACATGAAGTAAGCAAAAGGTCTTTACAAAGGCATGAAATAAAAGAGTGAAACAGATGTCAGGAGAGATCCTGAAACTTGGTGGAGAAGCTAGAGTGAAAGGATGAAAAGATGGAATAAGAGGGCTGAACAGAAGATTTCAAAGGGCAGCTTTAAGAAGACAGAGTATTTAAAAAGTGTACAAAAATATGGAGTTAGATAGAAAGCCAAAAGAGAAAAATATGCTCAACATTTCTCAAGATGGAAGAAGAAAAGATTTAAGCCTTGAGTTGTGCTGCTGAAGCATTCTTTAGAGAGCACTATTGAATGACGTTTTTGTAGTTAGGTTGAGTTGCACTCTATTAACAACAGACTTGAAACCTGTCCTATCCTGTGTCATATTCATATATAACTAAAAAGCACTTATTTTTAACGAAGACTTATTTTGAGGATATAACTAAACTTTGTTACTCACCCACCCCATCTATTTTGCAGAAGGGTTAATCCAGTGAACGTTATAAAGTAAGTACGGACATCTTGAAGAGTTGGAATCAACGTTAACTGACAGAGAACAACTTCCTTTTAAGTCATCATAAAAATGTTTAAGAAAGAAAGAAAATGAAAAGGAATAAAGGGCGACAGGGGTTTCCAGTTGAACAAATCTATTTTATCTAATACGTTCAATCTTGGCTACAGTGCAACAAAACTCCCAGTGTCGCACACTGTACACACCGGTGTTTCAAGGTGGTCCCCATTCCCCTAATGCTTCCAACTCTCTGATGAAGGAGTACGTAGATCTTCTCCTTGATGCAGTCTTTGTTGTAAGGTTGGTAAGTCTGGGTTAACGGCTCGGTAAACAAGACAGCTGAGATCTGCCAGATCATCAATAATATCAAACAACTGACTGACATATGTGACTGAAGGGCTGTTGGGATTCATTCTCTTCAGATGTTCCTGATACATTTTACAAACGCCCTCCATGCATTCAATCACAGATTCATTGTGTAAATTCTGCCTTCTGGCCTCTTGGTAGGCTCTACCAACAAAATGGTGTGAGCCATTGTGCCAACTATCTCACTGCAGCCACTGTCGATCTCACTGCCGCACACAAGCCAAGCCACACGCTTCTGACAGCCCAGCGAAATACTTTTTAAAAATGTATTTAATCAACTATCATCCCCTTTGGGACCAGCAGTCAGGAGATCAGGAGATTATTGTATTGATGAAATATGCTGTCAAGGAACTTTCCAAAATGCTGAAGAGCAATGATGTCCATTTGTGTGTGCCTGATTCAGGGTATGGTCTTCTAAGTCTCCTGCTATGCAGCTGAGAGATGGACACGGAATAAGGGTGAGAGAAGTGATGCCTTTGAGTTGTGGCTTTGGAGAAGAGCACTGAATATCCCTTTGCCTGCCAAAAGAACCAAGAGGTATGTCTTAGAAAAAGTGCAGCCAGAGTGTTCCTCGGAGGCAAAGATGACAAAGCGTTGTCTTTCATACCTTGGACATGTTGCTTGGAGAGGCTATGGGACATCATGGTTCTGAATCACATGGTGACATGGTGTGAGCCACGCAGTGCTTACCGATTTGTTGAGTCACCAGTGTGAGCCACTCAGTGCTCACTGATTGGTTCAGTCATCACTGTGAGCCATTCAGTGCTCATTGATTGGTTCAGAGTCAGCAGTGTGAGCCATGCAGAGCTTACCAATTGGTCCAGTCAGCAGTGTGAGCCACGCAGTGCTCACTGACTGGTTTAGAGTCAGCAGTGTGAGCCACGCAGAACTCATTGATTGGTTGAGAGTCAGCAGTGTGAGCCACGCAGTGCTCACTGATTGGTCCAGTCAGCAGTGTGAGCCATGCAGTGCTCATTGATTGGTTCAGAGTCAGCAGTGTGAGCCATGCAGAGCTTACCGATTGGTTCTGTCAGCAGTGTGAGCCACTCAGTGCTCACTGACTGGTTCAGAGTCAGCAGTGTGAGCCATGCAGAGCTTACTGATTGGTTCTGTCAGCAGTGTGAGCCACTCAGTGCTCACTGATTGGTTCAGTCATCACTGTGAGCCATACAGTGCTCATTGATTGGTTCAGAGTCAACAGTGTGAGCCACGCAGTGCTCACTGATTGGTTCAGAGTCAGCAGTGTGAGCCACACAGTGCTCACTGATTAGTCTAGTCAGCAGTGTGAGCCATGCAGTGCTCATTGATTGGTTCAGAGTCAGCAGTGTGAGCCATCTATGCCCAGAGATTGGGTCAGAGTCACACACTGTCAGCCTGGAGACCTAGGTGACAGTTTGGTAAGTGGTGCTGTCTTCCAGTGGTGCTTGCTGAGCTGGCAACGTGAGCCTGGAGATTCAGGGCACTTGTTCTGCCACTCCGTAAAGCATGGTAACCAGGGAGAGACTGAGGCATCCTTTGAGCCTCTTGAGAACCATCTGCTTAAGGGCAGAGCTATGGCTCTTTGAGTTGTCAGAGAAATTACAGAATGCCTAGATAAACCTGAATTTTCAGATAAAGACCAATGATTTTCCATTTCTTTCAATCCTTTCAATCACACAGTGAGGCAACACTGGAGAGGCCAGGAGCACAATCCCCTGGGGATGTGTTCCTGTACCTCTGAGTCGAAGCCCACTCATAGCTGACCTTACAGTGGGTTTTCAGAGGCAGTAAATCATACAGGAGGAGAGCGGCCATCTTTCTCCTGTGGGGCAGTTGGTTCGAACTGCATACCTTTACATTGGCAGTGCCATTCCTTCCCCTTGAGCCTCCAGAGCTGCAGCTTTAAGCCTCGCTGGCCTCCCCAGCCCTGTCCTTGGCGAGGCCTGGCTCATGGCCAGCGTGGATGCCTCCCTCAACCCCAGGTCAGGGTGCTGTGGCAAAGAGACGCTGCACTCTGTGTTCTCTACCTTTATTTTCTAGAACAGAACATGTGCAGCTGTGTGGGCTTTGTGCCTGATGCCCCCACCCCTGCTCTTGACTGTATCAGAAGCTGGCCATGACCAGGGGGACAGAGATAGCACAATGCCCAACCCCTCTCAGGGGAAGATGGTGACTGGCCCCAGAAGGAAGTGGCTTGTCCTCAGAGAGGGGAGTCCTGAGGTCTCTGGAACCTGGCTGAGATACATCAGACTGGGAACCAGGACAGACTTGAGATGTGGGCACACCACGCTCTGTACCAGCCCTGTGACCCCACAGAAGTGGGCAAAGGAACAAAGCTCCAGGCTGGGACACCTACTATCCCTGCCCTTTGGAGGAGACGTGATAAAATGGGGCACTGATGTGGCTTCTTGGCTCAGGGCCTCGTGCTCCCCAGGGTAGGCAGGGCGGGTCTAGACGGCATCAGCCTCACTGTCTGACTCAATGATGTCCAATGGCTGAAGGCGCAGGGAGTCGTAGTTGGGGGGCGGCGTGCCCGGGATGGGCAGGGTCTGCTCGTCGGTGTAGGCTGCAGCGCTGGCACCATGGGCGGCTACGTCAGGCTGGAAGCCGAAGTTGGTGTGGGCCTCCACCAGCTCGGCCACGGTGGGCGGCGGGCCCTCGTAGCGGGCGCGGGCCTGCCTCTGCCGCAGGCTCTTGGAGAGGGCCACCAGCTTGATGATGGTGATCCACACGAAGTCAATGATGATCTCCGCGAACTCGATGAGGCACAGCACCGAGCCGCCCATCCAGAAGCCGAACTGGCCCCCCAGGTTGGACAGCAGCCAGACGATCTGTGGGGAGAGGAGGCCGAGGCCCGTGGAGGCCGGCGGCATGCAGACCTAGAACTGGGTCTCAGGCCCCAGGGACGAGGGTTGTTGGGCAGGAAGGACAGAAAGGGTGGCTGACTCAGCCCAGGGATAAATGCAGAGTTACAGGAAGCCCACTCATTCCCCTTGGACTCAAGACCCTCCCACCATCAGGGTTCAAAGGGGGACAGGGCTGGGGTGTCAGACTCACGTTATTAGCTGTTGACTCCTGGATGGTCCGATAGTTGAATTCTTGGAAGTAGATGTTGAGCTTGACAATTCCCTTCCTACGAGAACCAGCAAGAGGGTCTGAGGCTGCACCCAACCACAGAGTAATAGAAAACGAACACTTTCTAATACCTTTAGCAACAGAATTCCTTCTCCTTTGCCAAAGGACTCTCTTTTGCAACTAATAAATAGAAATACAGCCCCGGTGTAAGAACAATTTTAGATTATCCTAAGGGAAAGACACTCTCTCTTCAACTCACTGCCTTGAGTCAGAACCTCCCGTGGGTTTTGGAGGCCGTAGATAGCACAGGAAGAGACTGCTCATCTCTCTGCCATGAACTGGCTGGTGGAATCGAACTGCCAGAGAGATGTGGCCTTTGGGTTAGCGCACACCTCCCTACTGACTATGCCACCTGAGAAATATTAGCATTCAAGCCCTCTCTGATTTTCTGTCCCATTTGTTCCTGTAATCCATAGCTGGAAGTTACACTTCTTAAATTACAACCTACGAATGGCGCCGACTGTCTCCAAAATATTGTTAAGACTGGGCTGACTAGTTTGAGACATGACCACCAAACCAGGGCATGTAGAGGAGGTCCTGTGAAAACTTGTCCCATTCAATTGTCCTGCCCCTCCCCTGCCCTGGATAGACCCCTACAGTGTCCAAAACAAGGAGACAGATTTGGGAAGCTCATGGTCTGTCTCCCAGATGCACGCATATCATGGAACTGCTGCTGTTTCCATTCCAACATCTGGCTCTGAGATTGGTTTCTCTGCTGGTGGGCAGCACAGCTGTGGTTTTCTGGTAACAAGACAAAGGCCTTGACCTCCCTTGAGACACCACACACACACACACACACACACACACACACACACACACACACAAACCACACAAGCCAGAGGTGGTTTAGAAGTCTCCCGAGCCCTCCTCGGGCCTAAGCTCACATGTCCACTCCCACAGGTGGTGCAGGACCCCTAAGTGCTGCCCTTCCCAGCTCCCTCTGGGGCTTGGGCCCACAAAGACCATCTGCCCAGCACCCCATCCGGTGGGCCCCCTGCTCAACCTCATTGCGACAAGTTTCCTAAAGGCCATGGAGGGAAGGCTGAACTCCTTGTCCTTGTTTTTGGCTCTGAAAACCATTCCTTGAAGGAACATCTTGACCCACAGTTTGTGACCAGCCTTTGACATCTGACCATTTGTGTTGGTGAGTGGGGACTGGACAGCCCTGGCTTCAGGGGGCATGACTAAGCCTATCACGGAAGACTGGCTGATAAGAGCCCTGGACACAGAGACTCAGAGAGCTTCCTGGGTGACATGGACACCTGCTGCTGGCCCAGGGGAGCTCCACATCGAGGACACTCCTAGACCAGGCCCTGTGCACACCTCTGCTGTATCTTTTGTGCTATAATAATTCTGCCCTTGTAAATACGGCATGCTTTGGGAGTTGTTCCAGTGAATTCTGAAGCCAAGGGAGGAGGCAGCAGGAAAGACGTGCTTCTGGGGACCGCTGAGCCTGCGGCTGGTGTCAAGGGGCAGAGAGACCTAGCCCCCCATCTGTGGCCAGGGGCCCTGAATGCTGAGGTGTCAGGGTCTGCCTGTGTGGCTGGGGTCTGCCTATGTGGCCGTCTGAAGGACAGTGTGTTCTTTTCACTTGTTAGCATTGACCTTGCTCTGGGTGGCACTCAGCGGGAGAGCTCCGAGGTAGATAGTGTCGATGATGTTGTGTGCCATCGAGTCAGAACTGGCCCACAGCCGATTCTCCCACAGGTTTTCAGAGGCAGTAAATCGCATAGGAGGAGGCTGCCCATTTTATCCTGCTCAGTGGCTGGTGGATTTGAACCACCTGCCTTTGGGGTGGCAGCACAGCTCCTTACCACTAGACCACCAGAGTGAGCTGACAGTAGAGACGTGTATCGATTGTATCTGGAACATGGTGTTCAAGCTGATCTTACAGTGCAACTACTCTGCCCCGGGCGAGCCCCAAGGTTCAGCTCTGAGCACATCCCTCGGTTCGTGGGTGGAGAGGGGTGGTCAGGCCGGCTCCTCCATGACACCTGGTGCCCCCAGAAAGGCTCTGTTTTCTCACGTCTCCAGGCCTTGCCCACATTCGTCTTCCTGGACATGTTTGTATAGTTCCTGCTCCTCCTTGGAGGGTCAGCTTAAGTGTCAGCTTCCAGCCCGAACCTCCTTTCCCGACGGCAGGTCCCCCGAGAGGGTACTATGTGACTTTCATCACCTATTTGCATATCTCTGTCTCTAGAGGGAGCTCTCACGGCCTAGGAGGTGAGAAGCTGTTCTATCAAGACTGAGGCAGGTGGTTCAAATCCACCAGCCGGTCCACAGGAGAACGGTGGGCATTCTCCTCCCGTGTGATTAACAGTCTCTGAAAACCCACTGGAGGGTCAGCTATGGGTTGGTCTGACTCCATGGCAATGAGTTGAGTTGATCTCTAGACGTCCACTGATAGTATAGGCCTGTGTCTTCATTTGCACGGACAGAGATGGAGAGGTGGACTGAGTGGAAGTATGGATGATCAAGGAATGGAGAGAAAGAAGGATGAAGAAAGGAAGTGTGGAAGGCTGGATGAAGGCCGGATGGAAGGATGGACAGCAGGATGAAGGAGTTGATGGCGATGGAATGGGAGAACAGTGTCTTTTTCAGGGGTGCTCGCCTCTGCATCCCCCCACCTTGGCTGCCTCCCACGCCCACTCTTCCACCTCGAGCCTGGTTCCTCCTTCTGATCTGCAAGACGATTTCTGAGCAGCCATCTGTCCTGTGATCAAATCCGTGCCCTCAGTCTCTGGTCCCTCCCTGGCTCTGTCCCAGATTCCCAGGTTCCACGCTCACCTGCTCAGGGTGATATTGGGCTGTTGGTCCCGCTCCAGAGACAAGACATGGAAAACCCAGTCCTGGGAGACAAGAAGGCAGCTAGAGAAAAAGGGCACCTGTAGCACTCCCTGGCAACCCGCAGAGAGGTAGACCAGCCGGCCACCCTGCTAATGCCCTGTGGGACAGCGTGGTGGACAAAGAAATGACCGCTCTAGTCTCCCACAGGTTATGGCCAATGTTAAGGAGCAGGAGAGGGAAGGAGGGTCTCCAGACTGTCCTGATAGGCCTTGGCACCATCCCCCGCTGTTCCTCTCCTCTGTCCTGGCACCTGACTTCCTTCTGCCAGGAGATTGTCCCCCGCCTTACTCATGGGACAACCTTCACCCTTGGGGCATCTGCTCCGTTGAGGTCCTTCCCAACACCCTACCCCAAGCAGGAGGGTCTTCCAGCTTCTCTCTCATCATCCTGTGTCGTCCCAACACCGCCACTGTCCTCACACTTGGAGATGAGCTCATTTGTATTTCTGTCTACAGCCCATCTCTCTGAGTGCAACGTTAAGTTCCCTAAACGCAGGGACCATGTCTATTTTGCCCACTGCTCTGTCCCCAGCACTGTGCTTGGGAAAATACTGGATGGAGGGAGGAAGAGTGAGGAGGAGTTGGGGGGGTACCCCACAAAGAATCAAAGAGACCAATCCCCAGTCCAATGAGTGGGGGGCTTGGCCACTCACTCTGTCATCTCACCTCTGAGGACTCGGAAGGCCACTCGGCCATGGAGATGGTCATCGTGTACTTGGTGTCGCTGGAACAGAGAATCCACCGTGTTGCTCTCCTGCCAGCGGTGCCTTCTACCCTCCGCGGGGGTGCTCTCCTTGTACCCCAGGCCACCCCCACTCCCCAGCCCCTCTCCTCAGGCACTCACTTGCAGGACTCACTGCACTTGCTGATGCACGCCTCCCTCTGGCTCTCGCTCCTCCGCAGCGCTGAGTAGCAGTAGGCTGAGCAGATAAGAGCAAGCGGGCAGGTGGTTAGGGGGCATCTCCAGGACACCCCGCTTCCCCTCAGAGCCCAGGGCCACACCGGGGCTGGAGGAGGGTAAGAGCCAGTAGCCAGCCCTCCTGCTCTCTGTGTTCATGGTAGGGAGCACCCAGGGCCTTGGGGAGCCTCAGCTCTGTCTCTGGTTGGCCTGGCGGGGTGATGTGGAAGGTGTCTCAAGCCAAGGGTCCAGGCTCCCAGACCTTATGGACTCAGCAGGGATGAGAGGGGCTTTCCCCACATCCACTCTTCCCATTTCTGCCCAAGGTCTTGCTCAAAGCAGGGGACTGATTGTTGGAAGGTATCAGGTTTTCACTTCTTGCCAGCACATTCTGCTAGCACCCTTTATATTTGGGCCCCAAGCACCAGGCTCAGGATCCTCCTCTTGTGGTTTTGGGATTTGAGTCCTGGGAGGTCACTTTACGGCAGCAGCTCCCCACTGCCCTGCTACCTGAGCACCTCACAGAGAGGCCCAGTGAGCATGCAGATAGCATGTCTGTCCTTGTGTCTGCGTTCACATGCTCACATGTGTGCACAAGGCAAGCCCTGGAGAGCATGCACACAAGTGTCCCCAGACACGTTCGTATGAAAACCAAGTAGACCGGTGCATGCTTGCCGGAATGCCCAGGCTCATGAATGGTGATACAGACATGACCACGAAGACAGATATACTCTCATACATCCCTGGTTCAAGTGCACATATCCTGGATACTTAGCTGGCCCCTGCAGAAGACTGCCAAGGTCAGTGCGCTAGGAAGGAAGGGCTATGGCACCAGGGAGCCCTCTCCTTTCCCTCAGAGGTTCTGTGGGCAGAAGCTCTAGCCGGCAAGAGCCCACGGGCCCCACTCACCCCAGTCCGGGAAGTCCTGATTGTTGCAGTATTTCTCCCCAGAGGGAAGTGGGTACAGGTAGTGGCCACAGCTGCAGTTTTGGATCATGTGGTCTTGGAAGCAAGAGCGAAGACAGGCCTGGGCGGGGGGTGGGAAACAAGGGAGAGCAGACGTGTGGTGCATATGCCTCCACCCTAGTCCCCAAGGGAAGGGGCCCATGGACAGCCTGAGGGAGCCTGGAGATGCCCATAGAGTGCCCTTCAGCTGAGAAGAGGTGTAAAAGGGGCCCATGGTGGGGTGGCGTTGTCCTTCCCCCTGGGCATCCCCAAAGGGCTTTGGGCCAGACTCCAGCAGCTCATCTCTCCGTGGCAGGGTCTCTGCTGCCATTCAGGGCAGGATCACCCAGGTGACACTGCTGTTATTGTTATGTGTTCTCAAGTCACCTATGGCTCACAGCAAACCTACGAACTACAGATCTGAGCCTTGCCCTGGCCTGCGCCAGCCTCATCATCTCTGATATGCTTGAGCCCACTGTTACAGTCACTGTGCCAATCCATCCTGTTGGGGTCTGCCTCAGGACTCTCGAGAGGAACAGGAGCCACATAAACCCCAGAGGCGAGGAGGTGCAGGTTCCAGAAAGAACAGTTTTGTTAATTTTGCCAGGATTCAGCCCATCATGTTCACTGGGACTGGATCCATGGCCTCTCAGGAGATTAAAGAGGGAGAGGGAGAGGGAGGAAGAGGGGGAGAGAGAGGGAAGGAAAGAGAGGGGGCAGGGAGGAGAGAGGAGAGAGAGGGGGGAGAGAAAGGAGGGAGAGAGAATGAGCGAGAGAGAGAAGAGAAGAGAAGCGGAGAAAGAGGAGAGGAGAGGAGAGAGGAGAGAGGGGAGAAGAGGGAGGAGAGAGAAAGAGAGGGGGAGAGAGAGAGGAGAGGGGGAAGAGAGAGAGAGAGA